GGGATGAGTTACTGCAGCCCTGCCAAGGGTATGGGATGACCTGCTGACCTCTGCATGGCTTTCCCAGGTTTTAGAACTGTCCTTCCAAGAATTTATGATCTCTCTACTTTCTTCATTCCTAGCTCTCTGTGTGTGTGTGTGTATGTGTGTGTGTGTGTATGTGTGTGAAAAGTACACCCAGGGATCTTTATTTAGTTGGAGAGGCTGCTAATTGATGTAAAAAATACATTTTGTCCCTGGTCACTAATTGACTGATGGAACAGCTGTTGGCCTGACAAAAACCAGGCAGAAATGCAGTTCCCACTAAGGGGTGGTCTGCTGCTGAACGTGACTGCTTTTGCCATCCACTGCGAAAGCAGGCTCCTGCACACTCCCAGAGACAGAGACAGAGACAGGCTTATGTCACAGTATTTCTTCACTATTTTTAAAATAATGTCACCTTGAGCATTCGTTAGGTAAAGGTGTATTAACCTTAGATATAATAAATAATGTAAAGTTTGTTCCCATTGAACAGTTCTAAGAGTTTAAAAGCATGAGCCTGATTATCAAATAAATAATTCTTCAGATAATGAAAATTTTGAAGTCTAATGAGATTTTAGTTGGTTAATAATAAAAACAATTTTTTTTTTTTTTTTGCTTTAGTGCAGAACCAGAGGAACTGAGTCAATGTTACTTTCATAAATTTTATTAAAATAGCATAGTAAAAGTATTAAATTTTACTATGCAGTCATAAACCATGTCTTTTCCTCAAAATAGTTATTGCTAAAACTATATAGTTTTGATTTATATCTGGTAGCATTGGCAAACATTTAAATAATTAGTGTGACACTAGATAAATAGATAGATAAATGTAATACTGATAAATGAAAATCAAACCTCACATAGAGTACTATCAAACTGAAGGGTACAATTATAAATATAGAAAAAATTATTTGTATTTTGGACATCATGGAATGAACTAAAACCAGGACCCTAGCATCCTGAAGTAACTGAGTGATTACATATATTTTTTAGTAGCCATAAGGGTGAGAAGCAGAAAAATTTCATTTTCTGCAGTATAAGAGTTTTTAAAAAGTCAATTAAGCCTCAATAGGTATTAGCCTCTTGCAAATTATTGTGACTAGCAGGGGGTGTAGGTCAATGTTAGTGTGTTAGCTGATTGCTAGTTGATTTTTCAGTTCCTTTGAGTTCCTTTGTTTTTAGTTCCAGAGATTCATGTTGGGTAACCCAGACTAATCTATGAAAGTCTGTTCTTCTCTTACCTTTTTCTGCTACCTAGGTAAGCTGTGACCGGACCTGGAGTCAGGGGACCTGATTTCTGGTCATGACTCATGTACTCTCTAGTATGTCATATAACCTTGACAAAGTTACCTAATGTCTGTGCCTAAGCTTACCTGTTTGTAAAAATATTTTTTTCTCTCTCTTAGAGAGAGAAAAAAAATTAAAGATTGGTGGCTTTAATTATTTTAAAATCAGTGAATACTGTCATTGAAACGCAGTCTTGTAAAGAAGTCCAATGTATAACTATGTCAAACCCATTGAAATGAACTTTCTCTGTTGAAGACATGGGGGGCAGAGCCTGAGTTCCCCAAACATGTCTGTCTCCCTTTCTCTGTCTCCCTGCCCCTTGGTAGAAGAAACCTCTTTGAAGACCACCAGGTCAGATGACCTATATGCTCCTTTCCAACTTATAAGACACAGTTTTAACCTAAATATTTATGATCCAGAAAACCCCATGGGTATTTTTGTACTTGTAACAAAAATCATTTATAAATATAAGGTTTAAAGTATTCAATAGCAACCCATTATAGAAAAATTTACTATATGTTTTTGCTTAGACTCACTAGAGTAAAATTACTTTTAGAAATGTGACTACACACATGTATCTTCAGGTCAGTGTCGATAACTACAGGGGGAGAGGAAGGTGAGAGCAAGAGCATCGGGAACAGTGCAGAATCTGAGGATGCTGCTCAACTCAGTGCCCTTCAGGGAGCGTGTATGGGGCACCCACTGTGCGGAAGCCACCGTGCCAAGCTTACAGGGCTCCCAGGGGTTACAGAGAGGAATGGCACACTCTTTTCTGAATTTGTTTTTGGAGCATTCCCTGTCAGACACTTTAACTTTTTAATACATGTTAAGTATAAAAAGTATAAGGTACCTAGGGGAAGATTGGCTTGAAGCATACGGAATACATAAATCAAAAAATAAATGTCACTGGATAGGTCGAATGTCTTGTGGCCGCACACGGGAAATGTGGACCGGGGGTCAAGTAGAACTGTCCCTGCGTGGAGAGCTATTTTGTTCTCTTGTTTATTAGCGTCGATCCATCTATACTAATGGCTTTAGCAAGAAAGGAAGTAAGGCGGGGGTCGGGAAGAGGAGTCACTAAATCTCAGACTTCCACCCTTCATTAATATTAATGCTGTCTTCAGCCAGTGCATATTGACACACACAGTCTGAAAGCTTAATACAGAAAATAGTTCTGAGGCTCCTTTATCATATATTCATTGACAACCAGCACCTAATGGGCTCATATTACATCATGTGTCTTAATTTTTATCCAGTGAGGAATTTCCCTTTACTATGAGCCAGTCAGTCATGATTTTGTGTGTTTCCCCAAAAGGTCTATTTTTTAAAATTGACTTTTAGAGAGAGGGAGAAGGGGGGAGAGAGAGAGAGAGAGAAACATCAATGTGAAAGAGAGACATTAATCCGTTGCCTCCCGACAGGGGGATCATCAAACCCACAACCTGGTATGTGTCCTGACCAGGAATCTGAACCACCACCTTTTGGTGTACGGACCACCTCCAACCAACTTAGCCACACTGCCCAGGGAAAAATGTACATTACTTTAATTTTTAAACAAATTTACCATTTATTGAACCACAATAACCCTGAATGAAAATGGACTTAGCTTAGAGGAATTAACTTATTTTTTAAATAAGCATTTCTTTTAATCATTTTCATCTGGACTCTTGAATTTAATCAAGGGAGCCAGAGTCCTGCAGCCTATGAGCACGGGAGAGCCCTTGGACACGAGAACACGTAGAATGTTCTGATCATCTGAGCAGGTCTGTGACTATATCTATGACTGGTTAGCAATTCTGTCCAGAATGACTTTGTGAAACATAAAGAAAAAATACAGGAGTGTTATATTTCTTCCTTGGACAAAATACAGCTTGGCAGAACTCAAAATATTTACTTACAGTGTTAGAATAATCTTAGAAATGAAGAATCAAGGCCCACAAGAGTCCTATGACTTGTTCAGAAGTGCTCAGTGAGTAATTGGCAAAGCTGGTACCTTCCAAGACCCCTGCCTCCCAGTGTAATTTTCCTTATATTCAGAAGATCCTTAAAAATTCCTCAGAGCCGTAATCTGTGAGTTAGAGACCCATCTTATCTCTGTGACTGCTCAAACCAAAACCAAACCAAACCAAACCAAACCAAACCAAACCAAACCAAACCAAGACGAAGGCTTTTGCTGCTAAAACCTAATTCCACTGCAGTTTACTGATGAATTTTACATTTAAGCTCCCTTCCTTAAAAGCAAACTCAAACATAGCTGATGCCAGAACAGAGCAAAAAACAAAGAGAAGACACCTTCCTATCAAAGGCCCATAGGATGAATTGGAAAGAACACTAATGAATGCATTTCAGATCTTTCTGCACTCCTCTCCCTCAGCCATAGCTCGCTTTCCTGCTTGCTCCCGCAGCACTATGTGCTCATGGCAGGTAGACATATGTGTCAAGGAGACATGTGGAAGGCAGCAAGTTTGTCTTTCTTTTTTTTTTTTTTTAAGTTAAGAGATTTCTAGAATGTGCAAACGTTAATTCTTGGTAATGGCGTCTTCGCCCGCCTCCTGCAGGGCTGGGGCTGTGCCGGTGGAGTGTTGATTTGTGCCCGTGTCTGGGCGGTTCCCTGTCTGAGTCTGTCACCGTCTGTATGTGACTCAAGACTGGGCTTCTCTGGGAGACCTGAGCCAGGCTCAGTCAGGCCAGTTCCTGGGAGGCAATGACAGTTCTTGCTCTAAGTCCTATTTTAATAGTCTAATATTTACATCTAAATGTTCCCCCAAAATAAACAACGCCCCTTCACCTTTAATGCCAATCTGCATCGAAGGAAGAGCAACTATGTGTCCTACCTTTGCCGTCAGAATTTACAAGCTATTATTTAGATTCCACATTTCAACGTAGAGTAATCCCTCCAAGTTGAAGAGAAAAGCTGGCTAAATATGACAGAGGGTAGAAAGGGTTGGTGGATGATTTTCAGCACTCACACTGCTTTTTATTATGTGGGGATAAAAGCAAGCAAAGCGTAGCAAGAGAAATGGTTTTTAATACCGAGCAGAAAAATGCAATATATATGAACAAAATAGATGCCTCATTTGAATTAGTATTTACGTGTTTTGTGAGCTCCAATAATATATGTTTTTCATTATTTTAGTAAAATTAAAGAACAGGCACTCTGCTATCTTTAAAATGTCATATTGCTCATGCTTGGTTAGGCACGCCAGATCACTTCGGCCTAATAAATCCCCACTCAAGTGTTGCACGGATACTAAACGACATTGTAATATGTTTTTTTAAATGTGAATGGAAGAGAAAATATTAATCGATAGTACTATTTTTATGTTCACCATTATTAGAATTTACTAATGAGAAACTGACATGCTACTTCCTGCGGCTGTGATACGTTTCTTGTTTTCCCACATTCTACAGGCCTTCATCCCATAATGGAAAAAAGTTCTTGGCGATTTCGAGTGATTTATGGGCCTGCCACTGGGGACCTGGTGTGGGAGAACCTTGGCTTTTGTGGACTTATTGGGGGAAGGATGTGTGAAAAGTCGAGGGAGCCCAATTAGAGAGAGGCACTGAGAAAAATGTTAAAAAATCCATCCTGCTGAGAGGCAGGCATTTTTGCTGGATGACAAATGTCTGGAGTTCTCAGATTTACAAAAAAAGCGTGCTCACCCCTGGCCTCGTCTCCTTTTGTCATGTAGGTAACCTAAGCTGTGGAAAGAGAGACCATCTGGAAAGATCGCTGCGGTTTCACAGAGCCAGTGCGCCCGCCCCCCTCCCCTTTATGGATGGATGGCGAACATGTTGAGATGACAGAGTTGGGCAAATTGTCTTAGGAGAGAAATCCTCCGGCAGTTCCAGGGTGCTGGTGTTCGGGACATTTCTGTGCATTTTTGTCAGATGGGTAAGGAGGCCCATAGGCTTTTTGTGAACTTCTGAGCTTCCAGAAGGCTTTTATCTGCAGCTCAGTTTTAACTGAGGAATGTATGGGATTTGCCACCTTGCAAAGTAAGTTAGACATAAACGCCTCGTGATTTATATGGGAATGATTTTTCACTGTGTATTGACATAAATCTTACTGGTATACTATGGTTTTCAGATGGCGTGGCCAAGAGAGGAATCTCTTCACCATTTTCCTTGTGAGAAATTAAGTGCGTCCTGCAAGTCATTAACGAGACTATATATTTGTGCTTTATCCTGATATCGCTTCATTGGAGTTGTCACAACCTTCAATGGCATTAATTGAATTTCAGGTGAAAAAACAAGGTTTAATAAGGAGAAATACAGCAATTTTGCAGCTTTCATGATCCTAAAAGAGGTATACTATTTCAGCCCATTAATGGGAGTAAAATAAACCATCGTGAGAAATAAATCTACGAGTGAATGTTACTGACTTTGACAGCCAAATGGACACTGTCTCTAGAAATTGAATCTGAAAGCCAAACAGGTTTGTTAGTGTGATTATTAAAACAATTGCCACCTTCTGGTGCAAAGTGATGTCAACAGTGGACAATCAAGCAATGCCCTTTGCTTTGGTCCAGTCAAGCGCGCAGAGCCACCGTGAAATAGGATTGGACGGGACCTTTCATTCCCTATGAGAATTAAATCTCTAAGTGCAGCGGAGAGGAGGTGGCTTATCCCCCTGCCCCCAGCAAGCAGCTAGACAGGAGTCTGCGGGAGGCCGTATTTTTTCTTACCCATTCCTTAGTGTGTGCACTTATATGTTACCAAGTATTATCGCAATTCATTTAGTCTTTACATATAGTTCCATCAGAAAAGAAAAAAAAAAAAAAAAGGCCAGAGTTTTCCCAAAGGCTTTATGACTTACGAAATTACAATTCTACATCTAAGTTGTTTATGAAGAATTGAATGAAAGGTCACATTTCTTTGGCTGCACACAAGCTCCCAGCTGCTGTGGCATCTTGGTGAGGGAGCAGAGCTCCACTCTGGGTTTACTGCAAGTTTCCCCAGAAAGAGCCACATGCATGTAATTTGTGGCAAACCTCAGTTATGAAGATTCTCCTCTTCCCAGCAAAGTCAAGTTCGTAGCTGCACAAGAAAGAAACGCCACATGTATTCAATGATCAAATGCCCTACACTGTGATTAAACGTATTTTGCAAATAACAATTCTACAGCATAGTCCCTTGGATTTAAGACCCTACTAACCTTAAATGAATTCAAAGTAGAAAAACAGATATGAGTTGTGTAAATGCCTGTCTTTTGCATCTCACAAAATTATCCTGTGTCAAATCTATTATTAATGCTTTTAGTTTTTAAAATTTCACACATTTACCACGTCTCGAGCTTCGACAGTTGATAAAGCAAATACAAGACTAAAAATATAATCAAAGACTAGGTGATCAATAACACATTTCTTCCCCATCAGATTATTTCTTCCATGTACAAAATTCCTGTTTGACTTTTCAATTATTCAAAATGTCAGAATGATAGATATAAGAGAGTAACCAACTAACTAGGGAAATCTCTGCCTAATAATATGCAATATAAAGATTCAGAATGATGCTGCTTGATGGATTAAACTTTCCCCTGTTCTGCCTCATTAGGGCTCTCCCAATGAGATCCAATCCAAACCTATTACTTAATATATATCTAACAGTGAAATTGCATAAGTGTGCACTAGTACAATAGAAGCTAAATGAGCAGTTTCAGATAATTTAATTAAGTTGTAGGTCTTCTAATATAATTGCATAAGTATGTGAACTTTTAACTTGTGTTAACCCAATTTCCTTATGCTTTCATTTACCATTTGTTGGGGACATTATAGTGATTAGCCAAAGTCCTTCCAGCTACTAATGTTCTCCATAAATTTTGATTTAAATTGACTGTCACTTTCTCACTATAATAAAGTAGATATTTGACATCTCAAAAAAGAGAACTAGTCTAGTATATTATGTTGTCAAGAAATGGAACTTTTTTTCTCTATCACACAAGATCCACATAAAATTTACCTTAATAAAGGCCATTAAGATCAGTCAGAATGAAGTGAATACTACATATTCATAGACATGTTCATACTTTAGAAGTTTTTGAAAAAATAGGCTCCTATGTACCCTTGGTAATTGGAAACACACATGATATCCTGTTCCCATATAATTGTGTACTGGGTGGCTCTCAGTATCTACCCGTTGAGTGCATTCAGGAACCCAGGGTAGTAAGATAGAAAACTAACTCCTATTGTACGTCAGTTGAGGTCAAAGACAAGAGTTGGCCAAATGGGCTAAGCCCAGATGTATCTCCCACACTACCTTAGCTCAGGTAACTAAAGTAACAGATTATGCCACTGTACCCTGAAACTTTTCAAGGAATATATTTATTTTGAACCCAGCTTTTTAAAAAGTAAAATTATGTTCTCACAAATGTATATTTACCCCCAACTGTCTTTAATTCTAACAAAATGACTCAGGCAATAAGGTTCTGTTATCGCCAATTACTGCCCTTGAAGTTATCTAGACATTCCAAAAATAGAGGCCTCAGTTCAGCGTCTGGAGTGACCTAAAAAATTCAGGAATGTTGTCCAGGTTCAGTGTTGCACTTTCTGTGCTGAATGGGTCAAGAGCCTGTGGGGCAGCGAGAGCTCCTTAAAAATCATCAGGAAGGCTGTCAGATAATTGGATGCAAGGGACAAGGAATGTCAGCCCCTCTGGCCCACAGTTTCCCATAAATGACTGCTTTCACAGTGTGTTTGGCCAGAGTCTTCAGGAGAGATGGCCTTTTAAAAGGATTTTTATACACAGATGTAACCCTCCACTGTAGAACCTTCCTGGCACCCATTCAAGATGAAAATTACCTTAAGTAATAGTAAGATTAACTGAAGTTTATTGGGCATTTACTATATGCTAAGCGATTTATCAGCATGCTTTTCACTTATTCATACAATGACTCTTGAGTTAGCAACTATTAGGACCCCTGTTTTATAAATGGGATACCTGAGGTGCAGTGAAATTGATTAAATTAGTGAGGCAGCCCAATTTTGGAGCCCATGTTCTTTTTTTTTTTCTTTTTTAATATATCTTGATTGATTTCACAGAGAGGAAGGGAGAGGTAGAGAGAGAGAGAGAAACATCACTGATGAGAGAGTCATTGATCGGCTGC